TTAGAGCTGCGACATAGGGGATTGTCGAGGCCAAGTTTCTCTTACATTCCTATCGTGAAACGTATACTCTCGCCTGAGTGGAATACCGGAGCTCATCCACGGGTGTAAAGACCTACGTTACCCGTTAAGCTGTTGTAGTAACTACAATGATTTTCAGAGTATCAAGCTTGGATTAGCCCATTCGATCGTTCAGAGGCATCACGCATTCTTTCTATCGCATGTAAATGCATGAAATTGGGGGGAATTATCGATCTCCCGAGGTGTGAAACCCACACCCAAGAATATCAAGAGTGCCTGGTGCCTCTGAACGGTCGAATGGCCTAAGCCTATCTTGATACTCGAAATTGATTGAGCCATTCACACAAGGTGATGACCGTCGACCATGTAACTCAGGGGTATGGGTTTGAATTCACAGAGTGATCCAGATAACACTAAGTTTAAAAATGGAACTCTAAAGGCAACTGAGAAGTGTGAGGGTTATAATAAACCGTTGCTGAAATGTTGTCGAAACATTGACAAGCTATTTTTTGCTTTACGTGGCAAGTACAAATACACTGTTCACTGGTTATAGTTATGATAGTGAAAGGAGTAAAAGATGACCACAAGTTCAGTTCCTTAGGGTGAAACGTAGCTTCAAAGAATGGTTTAAATTTTGTGACTCCACGATTAGTTAAAGCCGTCAATCGGGCAATGTTTTCCTTCTAAATAAACTACGGAGTGAAATGATGTGCAAAACATTTTTGTAGGATACATTTGGCAAAACAAATCATTCCCGAGACGTGATTCATTTGCATTTCCGATGCTCAAATGGATTCATTTTGCTGTGTCGCTCTGCTGTTGGCCAATGCAGTAAATGCTATTGGTCATATATTGTGTCCATCCCACGGAACTATCAGCCCATCAGTTCATTTCAATGATCGTCACCGTAATGCCACACTGACATGAACGTTCCCTTAACTGACCAGGCAGAAACCCATCGCAATCGATCATCGAAGAATGTGTGGAAATTCCCAATTGTACAGACGATATTGTGTGAGTAATCTGGAATGGCCTTTCTGCATATATCATATTGAGGACCGTGTTGCAGATGGTGAGCGATAGATGTATCACTTATCATAGTACTGTTTGTTGTGCACTAATCTTTTACGTGTGTGTCAGTTTGAACATATGCAGCTGTTAGACGCACAGACTAACAAACTAATATTCATTCATCTGGTCAGCAGAGAATTTGTGAGGATACGAGGATTGAAGTTTGTATCGAGAAATTTAGATCCTCTCTTGTTGTGGAACGAACTACTGAAGTTGCAGTGCACAATGAATAGACTATGGCTGCTTTAAACTCTATTCGGAACAGTTGATAAGCATAGTAAATAGGAGCGCGGTATTCCGTACAATATTTTACGTTTTCTCACTCGTACCGCCTCAGTTTGAATTCTCTATTTCGATAGTGGAATGAACAGTAAGTTTCTGAATGCGCCCCCCACCACCACCACTACCACATGAGATGATTCACCTTATGAACTCCTCGAGCGCCAAATCCTTTAGGTGGACCAAGTAAGACCTTTCGTGGGTCCCGTCTACATTGCACCTGCTATAGAGCTTCAAGGTGATCTACGCATCAAGTGGATTTGTGATTGAATGACCTCAAGCCAGTCAGTAGCACCCGATGTTCGAACTGCGACGGTGTGAAGGCACGACGGTGAGATTAAAAGTCCGGTAAATAAGTAATTAAAATGGAGTCATTACCCTTTCGGATCATCTGGTTCTTTGTTTAAGGGGCAATAATATCAACGATAAACCGTTTGCACACTATAGAGTCCGTTTGATAGGACTCAGAGTTTGATTTTGTGAACGTATATGAATACTGTTTGGTGTGAATACGAGTGTTAGCTGCACGATACGAGGTTTAACGGACCACGAGAGTTAGGCGGATGACGAAGAACCACTAGCTGAGTGGTCTTACATAGGTGAAGGTGTAACAACAAGCCTGTAAGGTGGAAAAGACGCAACTCCATGAACCAAAAGGTTCGCGTGAGATGTAGATGCTCAAATTTAGATTAAAGTGGCTCCCATCACCAGGGGTGAGGCATGCACTAACCGCAGCGGACTATTTTATATGATTTACCTGTGTATCTGAATGCTCACAATTCGTAGCATGCATCTGAGAAGATTCAGCAAATCGACGCTGGAGCACATTGTGAAAGCCGAAATTCTTGATTTTCACATTCTACTGGTTTATATTGAGAATAATTGGGTCTGCAATCACTTCCACGTTGTACAACGCAATGCTTCCCGTTTGACTAAAAGAATTTCTTAGATATACCGAAAGGACTAGTGAAATCTCCCAGTATTCACGAATGCTGGATATTGATTGTGCATTACTTGATATGGCCTGGAAAGGCAAAAGTGGAGAAGCTTCCCTCGATCACAGTGGATATTGTTTTCAGATTATTCAGATGATCTGTTGAGTGCTTGGTTCGAAAAGCATAGAAACTCAATCTGATGAAAATCACTCTCACATTGTTCGGACACCTTTTCATTATCAGTTACGGGTTTGTAGAATATGCCTGTAATGAGAACGTACTCGAAGCTCTCTCGGAGTAGATAGCGACAGGACGTCCCCCCGCTCGTGTTCTAGCAGATGGAGACGATAAGAGGCTTATCGGGAAACGGACGACAGTGGGGAAGCCGCAGTAGTGGTGGCGAGGTGACAGGGGTATGGAAATACTGGCAGACAGATCCTCTGTGGATCGGGGTTAAACGTAAACCAGTAAGGCAAAGCAAACAGAAGGCCAGTGATACAGAAGCACTCGTGATAATCATCAGTGGCTCCGTTGTCAAGCCTTACATATCCAAACATGGGTTTTGTTTGTTGCACTGCCACAATTCGAGTTCCCCCTTTTCTGTGTGCATGTAGCCTGATAAATCTGGATTGTTTCCAACCAGCGTAACTCAGCGCAGACCACTTATTATTAGTGACTCCTTTGTTCTTTAAGGAAATTCTGCCTGTTTAACTGAGATGTCAATGTTTTCTCTCGTTTCCTTGCCACCAATTAGTACAGTTTCATGAACCCGAGGTAATTATCAATATAATGTAAACGCGTGTAACACGGCTTTTTTACTTGTTCGGAGTGAAAACTGAGCATTTGTTCACACCAATAAAAGTTTTCCATTAACTCTATTGTTTTATTTCAAAACGTTCTTTCACGTCCTTAATTGCTCTGAAAGTGACAGGGTGATTTACGCAAACATTCGTAGACAACTTATCGATCACTAAGCTATGAAAACTTTGGTTTATGATGGAACAAATTATGCTTTGGTTCCTTTTGTTTTATCCGTATCACCTCACCGATTGACGTGGACGGCTGTGCTCGTTTCTTAAACTTTCGATCAATAATATCGCAACGATCACCTCACGTGATCGCATGCTTCGTTCAACACCTTTGAGAAATATGTTAATCACAATCGTTATGCGGGCATCCTTCTGAAGCCGGATAGGGCTGGTGTTCTAGCAAAGATTAGCTTATGGAAATGCGATCGATGTGCGCTGGTTCCGCTTCTCGTTCGGTGAATTATGATCAATCTCCTTGTACTGAAATAACTAACCGTCTTTTTATTTCCTTCTTCTATTTATTGAATGTACAAATGTACAGTCAACTTTCAGGAAGAGGGCTGCGGCCATACAAAGGCTGCTTGGGAAAAATACAGATATAGGGAAGACGGGCGGCGGTGGAGCGGTTTGAACCCGGGACACCCAGGTCACTAGTTGATGACTTCACCACTTGGCCACCACCGCGAATTCGAAAAAATGAGTAAGTCTCAGGAACTGTGATATAGCCTTTCAGTCTGCAGTATATATATATATATATATATATATATATATAAAGTAGGATGCAAAATCGCGCGGGATAACTGATTACTGATGCCTCAAAGATAAATTCAAAATATATAGTCTCCTGTAGTCCTGATGTATCGAGAGAATTGATATTTTCGACGATGCCCTCAGCTCAATAATGCAACTGTGCACTCGGTAATCTAATCCTTTTCCGAGCGAACCGTTCATTCATTCCCAGACTTCCTACCGTAACTCGCTGAGTCATTGTTACTCCACTCACTAAGTTTCAAGGTAGAATATTGCGTCATTCTATTGCAGTGCGACATTTACTCCGTTTTCCAATCTAGTTGAAAAAGAGTTCATAACAAATCCAGAAAAAAACTGAAGATAAAGTTTTTTTCATAAGTGATGTACAGTGTCCACATCATCAAACTGAGCCCAAGGCTGATGGATGGCATCAATTTTCAAAGTTACTTAACGCGGTTAATTTTTGCGATGCAACCGGTCAGATATTTCCGGTTCACAGTAACCCAATCCGGGTTCACGGGTGCAATGTATCTGCTATTTTAATGATTCACGAGATAGACGAAACAGCTATTCAAAAGTCCCAAGCATTCAACGGTGAGCTAAAACCGCTACTGCATGGTGATTCATTTCATTGGCGGTACAAAGAGAGTCCTGGATAGCAACCGAGTCAAAAATGGGGCTCATTCCACCAGACGCGCAGACGCAGCGGCGGAAAGGGCCTCGCGAGACAATGTTGACTGCCACCCGAAAGGAGAGAATCGACAACTACAGCCCGACGGAAAATCCGCAGCTAACGGTAAAGATATCCACCGAATGCCACGACGTCGGAGCTGTCGATTAACGCATCTCGCGCCGCGATTGGGTCAAACCAGTCGGAATGACACGCGGAAGAAGAGGCAACGTACGTGCTAATTGCGGACCAAAACCAACAAGGAATGACCCATAGAAAGAGGCATGAATCATCCCGCCGCGCGGTTGAGAATTGACTGTATATAATCGAACGCATACGCTGTTTGCTTTTGAATTGGATCAATAGACGTTTTTCCCAGCCAGCTCGCCTTCTCGTTACAGTGGTGCCGTCACCCAAGTCAGCACAATGCAATGAAGCTACCTTGGCCAAACGCGTTTGCAGACGGAGATGTGGAAGTGGATTCTCGACTTTGAATTAATCGCATCATGCAACGGCATCAAAGGGAGTGCGCACCTGTTCACCGCGTTGGGTACACTGCTTTCCGGGCGAGCGAGGACCGCTTACGATTTGAATTTGGAAAGCAACCAAGCCCTGGATTATGGAAACTTGAAAGCTGCATTGGTGGCAGAGTTTTCAAAGGAGGGTGACCGCGAGAAGGCGATGGACCGGTTTTACGTTGCGGATTGTCGGGCTGTAATTGTAGATTCGCTCGTTTCGGGTGGCAGTCAACATTTTCTCGCGAGGCATTTCCCGCCGCTGCGTCTGCGCGTCTGGTCGGATGAGCCTCATTCTTGATTCGGTCGCTATCCAGGATTCTCCTTGTACCGCCTTCCATCACAGCTGTACAAGCTTTTTAGATTAAACACTCGTATGTCTTGACAACAGACTTGTGTGCTGACCCAAATCGGTCTTACTACTATGTTAGCTATTAAACAAAGAAATACCTACAAACCTGACTCCGTAGTCAGGCCGGAAATAACATGTCACCCAAAAAATGGTAGAAATCAAGGCTCTTTAATGATGATGTAGATAATCTCTGAAATCATTGTCTCAAAAAAACCATATTGTGCGATAGAATTGCATCGAAATTACATACATCACGTGAAGTTAGAGTGCCACTGGCCAGAGCACTGATTAAATCGAACAGCTGAATAACCAGAGGGTCAACTGAACGACTAAGAAGAACCCCTTGCAATGAGTGTACAGCTCAAGTGATGCATTTCTGTTTCATGAATTACGCTGCAGCAGCATGTGATGCACTTGATCAGTCATTTCGGTCATGACTCATGACCGACGATAACAATACAGAATGAGTTTAATCAGCAGCGACAGCAGTACAGAAAACAGTCAAGGGGTGAAAATGACCGTTAGGCTTTAACTGTGGGTTAACCGAGTTTGGTGATTGTAGACCAAACAATGTGAAAACGATGCAATCCAGAATTTCAGGGAATACAAAGTACATTGTAATAAGAGAATTCAGAAAAATGAAGACTTGATAATCCGCCTAAAATAGGTATAATCAAAATGGCCCTCTAGTTTTTATATTTTTTTTGTTTATTCTGACATTTGGTTATAGCAAAGGGCCATCACACCATTATTGAAAATATCATCTTCAACAATAATGGTTTCGATATCCATAGTGCGATTCCAGTAATCAAGCTCGAAATTCGACTACTGCATTACGCGGCTTCCTCACCAGTCCACTGTCAACCTGGTAAAGCAACGGTCATGAGGCGCTGTTCTATCTTAAGCAGTAGGATGGAATTCCACGACTATCCAACCCAGGGTGAGACCAGCTTTTGAAAATCCAAGACTCATGTTGCATTTTCATTCTAAGTCGATTGTTTTCTTGCAAACGGTCCTCTCCCCCATGGGGAACGGATCACGACTTTTTTCTTTTAATGGTAAACCCTACCGAAGTCACGTGTCGTGATCGTGCAACGAATACTCACCCACCGCGGTACAACTTCCGGCTAACCAATCAAGAAT